GCGTACATATTTTATCTCCATGTACAAAATAAAAATAAATAAATTCTGACATTTTAAAAATTAGAAAATTTCAAATGTTTGTATCTAAATAATATCTTAAAATTTGTCTTTAAATATTAAAATTGGCAATTTATTGAAAATTACTGGATTAAAATGGAAAATAAATAATCATTTTTAATTAAGCACTGATTCTAAAATAAAATGTTATTATAACAATGATTTAATAAGATAGTTTAAAATCATCATAGCCAATATAGTTTATATTTATTAATTATTTAAAATAAAACAGGCAGAGGAAATGTAAAACTTTTAAATTGTTATTTAAAATAAGAATAACATAATATGAAAAAAAAATTATTTAATATAATAAGTACCAACCTATTTCAAAATTTTATATCGTTTTAATTCAGTTGAAAAATATTTTAATTTATAATGCTGAGATAAATGAATTCATTTAATACAAGTTGAACACGTTTAGTTAAATCATCATAATTCCTAATCCTTCATATTTAATTTGATCATTTTCGTTATCTAATAATAAAATGTTTTTATGGTTTTATGTTTTCAATACTAATTGCAAAAACCATTAATTCTCGATATGACTAGTTGATTTAAAATATGTATTAGAGTAATCTTTTCAATGACACTGGTTTCAATGTATTTTAATTGTTGATTTCTTTTTTAAATTATCTTAAAAGATATATTGTATACATGTGTATGTAGGCAAATTGTTTTATTGCAATGTATATTGTGTTGATAAATATTAAATATTGAACTTATATTGTCATTACAAATTGATATAATATACAGCATTCATATAAATACAATAATATGATACTAATAAAATTAACAATGATACAAATGATACAAATGATACAAAATGATTGTGTACTTGTGTCTTAAAATTAAAAATATATGATACTCATTGATATGATAATCGTTTTCATACAATTATTTTATTCAGATCGTTTTTATTTAAAACTTTTTAACTAGCTCAGTTCAGGAATTAATTTGTGATAGTTCAGTTTAATGAATAGTAATATAACTTAAATATCGTCGATAATAAGATCGTTAAAAAAAATCATTTCGTTGTATGATTAGGTAATAACTTTCTGAAAGTACTTATCACTTCATGATAAAACTTAAATACGAGCTTAAGAGAAAATTGGAAAAGGAGGATTCCTCTCCTTAAAAATATACGATGGTTATATAGCCTTCTAAATTCTAACAACGTTAACCTAATAGCATCTAGCAGTTATGTTGCAGTATAATTATAATAATACAAATATATGCTGACAATGGTTTTTCTAAAACACTGAAAATGCGCAAAAATATACATAATTCAATACTACCTTACTAATTATAATTACTATTTTTAATTACTTAATTATTCAATGAAGATAATATGTAATATTTGTACTAGCTCTGAACCCTGCTAATCTATACTACAAATACACTAATAATGTAAGATGTAAGAATAGTATAATATAATATTATGTGTACGTGTTGTCTACAGTCTATATTCTATAATTATTATAATGTATATTAATATGATTAGTGATTACTTCACTATTATTTTTACACCATGTTTTTTTTGTTCTTTAATATGTCAATCTTTATACTTTAGTTACTAATAATTTACCTGGCTACTGGTAATCTTATTCATCATAAAGAATAATACAATTTATTTAGAACTTTATATATAACCTTACGTCCTAACCTACAACAACTTATTTTATCATTTATTTGTATTTTAGCATCACAATTCCTTTTAAAATTGTCATTATTTTAGGTATACAACAATCGTAGTCTGTCGTTATTAATTACATTAGAAACAAGTTACGACTATATTTAGTTATAGCTTTATAATTTAGCGGGTTTAAGACATCATGTCACTTATACAAGCTGCAATTGCGTTAAATGACATTGGGAATGTCACAATGACTTATCCAGTATCAGACTGAAAATAAATCTTAAAACAAAAAAGGTACCTCTAGTACATTTGGAGTACTAGTACAGTAGGTTACAAGAGGGTCACTGTAATGGATGGTATCAAATTTGAATTCAATGATATAATATTATAATATCGCTGTAGGTACCTATACGAAAAACAATTCTTAACAGAGACTCGTTACACTTTGTTTAAATATATAATTTCGTCCAAATTTGAACTAATTTGAAAATAGCAATAAAAAAAACTGTGTACTAGTCACTAGGTAATAATAATATAAATAATACTACAGAATATTTTTAACGTTACTGTAATACTGCCTATGATTTATAAGTTACATTTTTTTCCATTTAATAAGTACATACAATTGCTATAAAATGCAGTATAATTTACTGGTAAGTAGTAGATTCTTATAATATTATTGTCTTATTAAATCATTATTTGTCCTTCGAACTAACTGATCTGCCTCCAAACAAAAGATTAGGAAAGAGTTTAAGTGTTCTTGATCCAAATGTATAAAAGACACTGTATTGTCATCAATGGAAAAATCAAAGTGGGGAAAGTAGATTGTATTATTGTAAATAGAATGATAGATTTTAAAATTGAACCGTAAGAATACATAAATTTAACTTAAAAGACAAAAGTATTGTATTTGTACTTGTACAATTAGTATCATATTATGTAATATAATCAACAAGGGAAACTGTATGAAAAAATTGTATGATAATTATCTATAAGTAATGTTTAAAAAATGAATATAAATTACATTTTGATGAATAACAATTAGTACAATTGTAAAAGAAGGCAAATGAAGGATAATTAGAAATCATACCATAAATTATTATCAAATTCAGAATCAAGGACCGAAGTGAGAAGCTCGACGTATGACCAGGAATCACTTTATCGTATTCCAATAATACAAAATAAAAATCTTAATATTATTTTATAATATAATAATTAATGTTAATATTAAAGTTTTAACTTGGAGTAGCTACCCTTTGATTTTATTCTAATTTAAAATTGAGGTCAATACTACCAAATACTAAAACATAAATCGAGGTAGAATGTATTTACCTACAAGTTACAACTAAACTAATTAATTACGATTCTTAGGATTCAAAATGATCCTTTTTCTTATTGATTCGAGATAACATTTCAAAGTTATCTTTTTCAGTGCAACATACATACTCTCTACTAGCTATTCGATCAATCAGCGAACGGTTTATAGTCAACATGATGTATGAATAAATGACTTTTTGAACCTGACTACCTAATACCTACTACCTACTAACCTATACTAGTTTTAATTTCTTAGTATCTTTTCTAAAATAAAAGGTCCAGACAAACTATAAATCACGAGTCATTGACTAGCTGTTTTGATCTGCAATAAGATATAATCGTTTATTAAAAAAATTACGGCGTAAGTGTTTAACGTAATTGCTACGTTAGTTTTGTCACTTCCATTTTCATACACCTTTAAACATAATTTGTATGTTAATACAATGATTAATGGAAAGGGAGGTTACCCCTATTATTAGCAGTAATATATTATGGACTATTTTTTTAGGATTTCCGACTTCAAATGTTAAACTCCACTTTTATCGCAACGAACAAATTCAAAGTTAAGGTCATGGGATACTGTTTGGTCTTTAAGTGTTTCGATAGTATAGTTGCATGGTTACCAGTATATTTATTTACATTATATATTAACAATGATATCAATAAGTAATGTATATGATGTAGACTATTGATTATTGTAAATCTTGTGATTGTGTGGTATATTTTAGATCAATGATAAATTTATGCATTTAACTTTAAAGAACTATTCTGATTTTAGTTAAAATTACACCTGAGACCTGGCATTTATAAAAAAATGGCGTTTGTATTTGAATCAATGTTTTTTTTTTTTTTTTTTTGTTGTTTTTTATTCCTTGAGCTTCAAGAAACTACATTGAAAATCCAGAACAATTTCCTTAAGAGAAAATTTAAACTTGAAAAGTGCTACATAATATTTTTATGAAACCCCAGAGAAGTGCAAAGTACATTTGAGCCAGTTTAAAAAAATCATATTGAAAAATTGAAATATCTATTTGGCACTTTCTATAAAATAAGAATATTGTATTTTTACAAAATGTGATCAATTTTTAAGGAGCTCAATATAGGCAATATTATATATGCTATTTTAATATACTTAGTACGAAGTTGCAACTGTGTGTGTATTAAATTATCATTATGTACATATATATCCATCATAAACATATACCTTAAACTAAGTCTATGACGATAACTTCCACGCACACATGCGCATCACACATATATCAAATATCAATAGTTCACTTTTGCTTATCACGCGCAAAAACATTTCTTTTCGTTACTTTTTGTTCAGTACTAATCTATTTAGACTTCTGGAAAACAGATTTGAATTCGGCATAGTCATTAGTTTTACATCTTTACATTAGAATGATTTTACATCTTTCATATTTTAATTTATTTATTTTAGTTCTATATAAATATCTAAAATTTTTAATGTCTTAAAATTTAATATATCTGTATGAAGTGAAGAATAAACGTTAATTTTTAAAAATGTGAGAAATTTATCTTCAATTCAACTTTATAAACAATTCAGGTGTAATATCGTTTTATAAGTTTGAATTAAATATACGTAAAATAAATAAATTCATGAAACATCACATAAAATCTATACAATTTATATTTTAAGGTTATTTTGTATTTTTGATTTAAATATATATTACTACTAATTTTAAAAATAAAGTAATGACGAAATTATTGCACTTAAAAGCTTTGAAAATTTATTTGTTGAAATATGTGGAATTAATGAAGTTGACTTTGACGATGATGATAGACTACGTAGTACGTACATACAAGTCAACTAAGTGGTTCGATGAGGTATTCAACAATGGAAAACTTATTAAACCGTTTTTAACAAACGAAAATTGTTGTAAAAAAGGTCGACAAGTGAGTACCTGTATATTGTATATATATATATAATATAGTACCTATATTGCTCTGCCATATATTAGATGTAGGAGGGTTACTATAATACATGTGTTAAATTTGAATTCAACAATCATTGCATACAAAAAACGATTCTGAAAGAAGATTATCTGTTATACGTGTATACATACAAAAACAAATTGTGAAATCAGTACATTCATCTATCAGCTCAGAATCTAAAAAATCAATAGGTACTGAAATAATATAAATACAACTCAAATTACACATCTAATGCACTAAAGTTCATTTTATTTATAAATTATTCAATACTTGAATGTTATAAATTGCCCATAGTTATCTTACTTTAGATTCAAATATCACGTAATAATAATACATCTTATGCAATTTCCTAAACATTGCAGTTTTTATAATATTCATGTCGAAAAAATTGAAAGATATTAATAAAAGTATAAAATAATTAAAACACACAAAAATATTGAGTCATTTATAATTGTGGCCAAATTCATTGGCATGGGTTTGTACCGTACTTGTTGGTTTTCGCAATGGCAGCGCACGTGCCGACGGACAAGTGATCTTCGACGGTATTGGCGAAAGCGGCGGCCACTAGTGGCAGATGTCCCGTGTCGTTTCGACTGTCACGTGGCCACGTGGTCATCTTGTACACTTTAGTGATGGCGGAACAAAAGCAGTTGGGCCTAAATACGTCGTACGCGATGTTCAGGCTGACCCGGTCCATGAAAAAGTCGATCTCGCGGCTGGGCTGCTGCAGTTCGGCCAGCTCCGAGACGATGTGAAGATTAAACGTACCGTTGAGGTTGTGCAACGTGTGCTCGATGGCGACCATTAGCCCACCCGTGTTCGGTTCGGTCCACACGGAGTTCACCTTTTGCAACGCGGTATCCAGGCCGTCGACGAACGGGTCGCTGACTGCGAAGAACCGTCCGTCGTCCAGCCGACCGGCGGCGTCCGGGAAGTGTGGGTCTGACCGGTTCCCGTACTGCACGTACGGCTGGACGGCCGCTCTAATGGCCGACGTCACATTCTTCCGTGTCACTTCTAGAACATAGTCCGCGACGTGTCCGAACGCCACTTCTTCCAAGAAATACCTAAATGGTGCAGACATTGAGACACTAATTTTAATCTCGCTTTATAGGTAATAGCTAATGAAGTGACTTCATATTTATTTATATAAATATATCAAAATGAGACTATATACTTTTAGAAGCAACTTTGGGAAGGATTTAGGGGTCATGGAGCCCATGGATCTCTATAAATTATCAAAATCAAAATATGGATCTCTATACTGTCTATACCCCCTATGCAAAAGTATTATTTTAATTATTATACATTATACAAGATTATTCACCAAGTATGCTAACCCAATTTTTTTCTTCAATACCTACAATCCAACCATTCAAAATTTGTAGTTTAAAATTTTCAAATAGGTAGAGGTATACATAAAGATATATTTTCAAATTCTTGAAATTGTTTGTTCTACTTGAAGTATTATGTGGTTATAAAAACTTCGGTTATTCAAATGAGACCTAACCCCCAATTCCTACTGTAAATTATTTAGTGAATGATTTCTGAAAATTATGACTTATCAACATCCGTTATTTTTAAAAATAGTCTACGTATAATAAATTCTAGAGCCAATATTACATTTGTTTTATATTTTTATAAAACCTTTTATTATATCCTTATTCTTGAGTACAAACATATTAATAACTGAGAAACTATTCGTTCGAATTTTGTAATAGGTAACAACATCAACATTTTCAAAAAAAAGTAAAAAGAGGAGCCTTTAGAAAAACAGAAGTTTGTATCACCACAGGTTATTTCCTTATAAGTGAACATGCTCAATCTACCACCTTACATAATATATATAATCGCTCATAGAGTAGAAAAATAATAAATATAACATTTTTTTTTTAAACAATTTGTGTGTAATAAATAATGAATAGTTATTAACCAGGTATTTTGTGAATTGTATCCAAATAAGCTGTTTTTCAAATTACCGTGTAGCCGAAAATCCGTCTGGAATTGAATGTCCAGTAAAGGTGGCCCTAAATTGACTATAAGATATTGCTGAATTTGGCGCCGACAAAGGATACAACTCTGAGTTTTTGGATAACGGTGTGTCTGTTTGATACATAACATTTTCCACGAAAATTTGATATTTGCCAGTTACGTATCTCCACTCGTCTACAAATGTATATTTGCCTACAATTTGTAGCTCTTTCCAAGTTATCTCTGTGGATACCTGCATCATATATCAACCAAACACGGTAAATTATTTTTGTCAATAATGAAGAGGATATTTTTAACTTTAATTTTCTGTTAGTTATATTCTAATTCTTAGTTATAACTAATAATATAGAGCACATTATTAATTATTTTATCATAATTCCTTATTTGTTGCCGATATGGCCGTATATATTATAAAACTGTGCAAACACTATTATCACTATAACTGCACAGACTCTGCTGTCTACTCTTTTTATGTTTATGCAATCGGCTCTTATTCTTATACATAAATAATTAAGACATATCATATATTATATTATGATCCGAGTTCTCTTAACTTTTATTGCGGTTCCCACTGTTATAAGTTATAAGTTATATTATAATATAGTCTTAGTCCTTAAATCAGTAGAGTTCAAGACCATTTCCTAAAATTATCGGTTTTTATACATACAATATTGACAAAATTTTCTTAACTTAAAATAATAAATAATAACAATATTATATTATAGCTATCCACTTTTATTGGTCACTGGTCAGTTATTGGTGGATGAATAGGTCTCATTGTTTTTTTATTATTAGTATGATGAGAGCACGAGGCTGAAGCTCACATTTTAAAGCTATATTCTTAAGCTATTGCCCACAAATATTTATTATAATAATATTATTTACCTATACTAAACTTTTTTGTAATAATTTAAATTTGAAACTTTAGCTTACCTGGTCTTGCGACCATCGTATAACGACATTATTGCTTTTAAAATCCATTAGGCCACTGACGGTATTATTTTCGAATACGATGTTGGAATTTATTAATGATGCTCTGGTCTTAGGTAAAATCAAGACATCATTAAAATATCCTAATGGTGTTTCTGCATCGTATACGTGACCATTATGTTCTGAAATAACATCGTACTGAGTTTTATACGCCCAAAATACTGCGTTTTGAATTTCTTCATTTGTATAATATTTGTTGCGCATCAAATAGGGCAACGATTCTGGTAGTGTGTTATCGTCCACAGTCCAGTTTACAGTAGAGTCTAAAAATAATTTTAATAATTAAATTCTGCTTTCCATCATTTAAAAATAACCTGTTACCTGTTGATGACAACACAAAGCATATTGCGATTAAAATCAATTGCGATCTCATCTTGAACGTAATCAAACTACGACTGAACGAGTCAAATATCATTGAACATCGCATTCTATACAACCTTATGTCCTTATATATAGGTACAGGGTTTCGCTCCATCATGCTTCAATATTTGTCCTCGTACTTTTTCAGATACCTGCCTGCATATTAAACTATATAGTACATACTTAATAGTTTATAGGTATTTAGATACCCCTCTACAAATTCACTGCTTAAATGTTAAGACTTAAGACTCATACATAACTACTATATACTTAAATAATTTATTAATTTAGCTCTTCAAAAAATTATATTAATTAGCTCTGATATAGTAAGTTACTGTCCATTTCGGAATTTTAAGTAACACCATAAAACAAAAAATATTAAAAGTTTTTTAGATTCTGATCGGAATGATGAATGTATTGTTTATACAATGATATTGTGTGTGTTTTAATTTCAGAATAAAGAGATGAAAGTAATGATTTCACAATGTTAAGTGTTTTTTTAAGTGTATATAATTATAAATTTATAGGTATACGAGTACGTTTTATAATAGAAAAAAATGTTTAGATCTCTCATGAATTTGTTTGAATTTCTGATTGCCAGTTGAATCTAGTTTGTACTTTTGGGAGGTCAAAATGCACAGTATTTTTTGAAATAATCTAGAAAAATAACAACAAAATTAAGGAAAACGATAATTTTCACTCAAAATCAGCTGATGACAAAATCGATTTTTTTTTAATTTTGTAAGAATTTAAAAACGAACTGAGAGACTTTTCACCATATATGAGCATTTTCTATACTGATATAGTTTTAATATTTTTTCTTTTAAAGCTACTTAATATTCCAATTTTTGATATTTTTGTTTTTTTTTTATAAATGTAGATTAAAAAATATTTGATGCGTCAAGAGGTTGAAGATTAAATAGACAGTTGCTAGTGAAATTAAAAAAAAAAACAATATATATAATAAATGTAGGCATCTGATAGTTTTTATTTATAATACCTATATTTCTTTTTCGATAATTTTTTCTGTAATCATTTATAATTTTAATGAAACCCTGGTTACGAATGATGCTGATTTTGCAATATTGAAATGCATTTATAAGATAAATAGGTATAATAATAATCCCAAGTTAAATATGAATATGTCATATTAAATTTAATTAAATACCGGTATCTATAGTTATATAGGTACTGGATGCTTTGATAAATAAAATGCAATACATTCATATGTTGATGAATTATTTAATGACAGTAAATAATTAAGTTTCTGATATAGTGGGTAGATAATATATTAATATATACCTACTACCTATAAAGGCATAGAATGTCCATATACCTATTAAATACCCATTGAACCACTAATCTAATGTAGAATAAATTCTATATACCTACTAAATTATTATGACTTTAATAATTATGTCTATATGGTCAAATGTAGTATTCTTCTTGATTTTCAAACAGGAAACAGCTAATGGACTTTATTGAAATTTTTTAAATGTAATGATAGGTATTAAACGGTAGCAGTGGTTTTTCATGGTCACTGTGTTATGTGTTAGGTACCTTACCTATTAAACAATATTATTGATTTTTGTAAGAAAAATTAAATAATAATAAAAATATAATGAACTATACTAATATAGGTGCCTACATATTAGGAGTAGTAGTGTTCAAACAGATCCTCCTCTGCTGTCTTAGGCTTAAGTACATTTTTATCGTTATCATTTTTAAAGTATTTTAATTTTTTGTATAACAATAACATAATACTTTTTTAACTTCATATTCTAACAGGTTGACTGCCATGTGTACATTTGTTTGTACACGATCTTATCTCCATACTTGTATAAACAAATATTTTTATACTATCCAACAAATTTTAAACGATAATTTGCAAAAACTTCTTTTTTTATAATTTTGTTTTTTTGTTAATTAAAATATCCATTTGATATCTTCGCTGAGTAGACAAACTGGTCCTAGGGGCCACAATATTTAATTCCAATGTTAAATCTGTACAGGCGTGTACACATTTCTGTACATGGAAAGAAAAATGGTAAGTAAAGGAGTGTACACAATTTTGTACACACGGCACAGGGTAAAAAGTATCAAAAATCATTGTGGCAGTCAATCTGCTAAAGTACAATATTATCGGGAGTATCTCAATCCAAAAAGTTCAATATTTTCGTACAATTATGTTCATTAGTTAATAGTTATAATTTAAAAGTTAAAAGTAAGGCTAGGAAGGTGTTGAATTTGCATGTTTTTTATAGTTATTACTTATTAGATTTATTGCTAAGTAAGCATGATATTAATTTCACGGCCTTAGGAAAAATATACTAAAAGTTTATACTTTAAAGTACATATTTTTGAATATTTAGTGATTTTGTAGTTTAAAGAGCATACCATTTTTGGGAGCATATTTGATGATTATGAGTAGAGCTATCGATTTTGATGACTTTTGCATTTTTTTCTTTAAATCCTATACAGTTCTAACTAAAAACTAAATTTGTTCCATGATATAACAATTTAAAATGTGTAATTTTTATTTCGCATTTTTTGCATTTATTGCATTTTTAATATTAAATGCATTTTATTGCATTTTTAATATTAAATGCATTTTATTGCATTTTAGATTCTGAGCGGAGCGATGAATGTATTGATTTTACAATGATGCGTGTTCTTACATTTTTTTTTTGTGTGTGTGTCTGTCATCACGGTTTTTTATAGTAAAAGTACTTCGGTTTTTTTCAACGGCCACTTTTCTAGTAGGAAAGTGAATCTAGTTGGTGCATCAGAAGATCAAAATTCCCATTAGTTTTCAAAAGCAACAAACAAAAAATTAAGGAAAAACGGGAATTTTTGTTTTTTTTCGATTTTGGTTTTAAGTGTAACTCTAACAAAAATTACCTTAGATACATGAAGTGTTCACTGAATATTTGTGTAAACATTTTTTTTATACACTATAATATTTTCAAAATATTTTGATTTGTGTTTAACTATTTATAGGCATATTCAATTTTCGATTATTATTTTTTTTTTTTTAATCTCAAGTCGAAAAAAAAATGTTCACTCGGTCAAAAAACTTGAAAATGCAATACAAGATTTATTGTAAGTTGTTGTTAATGGAAATTAAAAAAAAAGTTTAACGTAAATTGATAAAATTATCAAAATATGTTGACTCGTTTTAAGCTGTTGACGGATGTGTTTAGTTTTCATTATTTTCTTTCTATAAATGTCAATACAATTTTATTGGTTGGGTCAATGAACATTTAATGTAAGACTCTTGATAACTTGTAGCAGTTGAGAAATATTAAAAATACACAGGCACGATTTTTTTTATGAAGATTTAATGTTCGAATTTTGACCATATTCATCAAATTGAAAATTGAAAATGATTTTGTAGTTAAAAATGTATACAATTTTTAATTTTTATAGCTAAGGATTGAAAATTTAAAACAAGGTTCCACTAAGCAGTTTTTTCCATAGTTATGGAAAACTTCAAGAGCGGCAATATGAGCATTCGCCGCCCTCTCCCCGATAATTTTTTTTACCATAATGTTTATTTAATTTTAGTTTGCTTTTGGATTTGTAATGGTTTTTTGAAGTGAGGTATTTATATCCCTCCCCTTCCCATGAACATATTTTACAGGTATATCACTGACTTATCCGAGTAAATGATTTTCTTCTTATAATCGTAAATCATAGAAATGCAGAATGAATCATTTTAAAGATTTATATTGTTCATACTCAGTGATTATAATATTGTATGCGATTTAAGACGTCGTATTATCGTTAAGTTATAAAAAACTAGTTTTTCTCTAATGACCCGGCCTGTGGTTGATAGACAGTGTGGTATTCGTGTTCAGGTGTCCAGTCGTGATACGCACAACTTTTAATCGATCTCGTTTTTTGAGTGATAAGCTGAACCATTATCACTTATCACTTATCATACAGTAAGTTGGTCTCTGTGTTGGCATAAATATTGCATGAATGAGTGATATTTACCGGTGGCGGTGTTAGTGGTAGTGGAAAAAAAAGACGGTAAGCAATGCAAAGTTCAAGGATCGAGTTTTAATTTTTAAGTGTTTTAACACATAATATCAAATATGCGCCGTTTGTTTCTTTTTAATTTAGATCTGTATCCGTGAATACTTTATAGTTTTATATTCTTTCTGTACAAACAAATAAAAATGTATTTAATAATTTTTTTTCACAAATGAAACAGACTTATTTTTTAGTTACAAGCCCTACGTATCAGTAATCTCATCTCATTACTAACTTTTATTACACTATTAATATTTATAATATATTGTTAATTTTATTGATTCGCTAACAACAAACTGGTTAAAATTCTTCTAGATTATTTGTAAATCAGGTATGAAAATTTTTTCATGTTAACCAGTTACGAGTGTTTCCTAATTGGTTTTTTTTATATATAATTAAACTATTGATAGCTAGGTTACCGAATTTTTAATAATTGATTTAAGTATACACAATGGTGTTTGATAACTTATATCTTAATAAGGACCATCTTGACGGGTTCGACAATTACAAAGTAAGTGCTTGTTGACACATTTTTAATTAAAATACTTGTATAGTGCTTGCTAATGTCATGCTCGTTTAGTTATTTAGTAATTAGTAGTATTAATCTTATCATGTTCAATATTTAAATATTGTTTTCATATGATATAATAATACATCATAGTTTGATATAATTAAAATTCACAATCATGAAAAAATGTTGTTTGTGAATCTTATAAGCAATAGTACAAAAATAAAACATTTGTTAGTTAAGATATGATTTTTTAAACACTTATAATTATTGTCTGAGTAATGAGGATATTTTTATAATTATATTATTTTCCACAGTAACAGAATTATGAAAAATCAAAAATATTTATTGCGTAATCCAGTTATGATTTATGATAGGTATTTTAATTAAAGAACATTTTGTCATTTATTCTGTTGTAGAAATTATATTTCAATATATTTTTTACATGACTTTATTATGGATTAATCCTTTATTTAATCCTAAGCTCCTTAAATAAATATTTTATACCTTATGTTTTATACTAACCTTGGCCTAAATATTATTTTTTAATTTTAGGAAGTTATTACCTATATTAATAATATAATTATTGTAAACAAAGTATTGTAAAGTCAAAAAAAGAATTTATTTATTTTATAAATCCTTCTAAATTTATTACCTTTTTATGGATACTAAACTGACATAACCTATTGGGTTTATAATACTTTAATGTATACTCTGTTCAGTGAGATTTCACTCACCCCCTGCGTTACCCTGCTACCTAAACCAGTTCCCCTATGCCAGGGCGTCGGGTGCGCAAATAAAACCGATTTTGGTCGATCCGTCGCTTGTTTTTTTGCGGAACAGGGTATAGATATCAAATTTAATTTAATAACAATATTCTAAGTTTGAATTATGTGTTAGATAGTTGTGATAAAGAATTAGTATAATAGAAGTTTGTTATTGAGGCAAAACTGTTAAGATACTTTTTACAAAAAAATGTTATAAATATGTAAAAGAGTAAAAAAAATATTAAATTTCAGATTGTAATTTTAAAATTAAAATATCTCATTGACTATGTCTTTGTTTAAAAATTATATTAATAAAATATTTTTATTTTTTAATTGCAAATGATATAAATTATTATTATCATTTATTAGTAAATATCAACTTATTAAAAATGTTCAATTATTGCTTATAAAATTCAAATTCATTAAACACAGTTTTTTTGTATTTTTGACAATTTTATTTATATTTATTTAGATTAACAAACAAAATTTTGTTTTTCAGTATAATGCAATTGATACAAATCCATTGGGTACATATGTTATGCATCCTTTTTGGAATGCATTAATTAAAGTAAGTGTTATCAATATTGACAAATTAATGTTTTATATAATTTGAACTGTTGTAAGTAATTAATAAAACAAATTGGTGTTAATTTAATAAATTGTTCCCTTACAATTTTTTTTTTAATTTTAGGTTACTCCAAGATGGATTGCACCTAACTTGCTAACTTTTGTTGGTTTTCTTTTTACTGTTGGAGCTTCACTTCTCCTTGCTTATTATGACTATGGTTTCTATGTGTCTGGAATAAATTACAAAGGCGATCCAATACCTAGATGGGTGTTTGGTGTTGTGTCTTTATTTATTTTCATTTCATACTCCCTTGGTATTTATATTTAATCTTTTGAAATATAATCAAAATAATAATAATTATTAACAAAAAATTTAGATGGTCTTGATGGTAAACAGGCTAGACGTACAGGCACAAGTGGCCCACTAGGTGAACTGTTTGACCACGGTCTGGATTCCTGGACAACTGTTTTTATCCCGACCGCACTTTATTCAATATTTGGGCGTGATGATCCAAACACTATTCAACCAATACGAATGTATTATATCTGTATAATGGTTTTCATTAATTTTTATCTGGCTCATTGGGAAAAGTATAATACTGGAGTATTGTATTTGCCTTGGAGTTATGATTTTTCAATGGTTGTAAGTTTAAATTTAAATTTAATTTTTTGTACCTTAATTATAATTTAAATCTTACTTTTTGATATTCATATTATGTTATATCAACAATGAGTACATTTTTTATATTTTATACAATAAAATACACTTATTAGAAACATTTTTGGATCAAGGTGTAATGTGTCAATTTAAAGGCTATTGGTTTCTACTTGTAGTAAGCCGGCCATGTCCCTAGACATTTTGTTTTACTAACACAATTGTATCATATAGTTCCTAATAAGCTGTACACCTCCTGTTAGAAGTTACCTACTTTCCCCTCTTTTAAAATCTTAAATTTTAAATGTATTATTGTTTTTAGGGATTAGTATTCTTCTTTGGTCTTACTGCTATTTTTGGTCCCGAAAAATGGAAAATGTCTTTGACAGATAATTATTCATTTGGACATGTCACGGAAATAACATTTTACTTTACCACATTCATTACAAATATTCCAGTCTCAATTTATAATATTTACGTGTAAGTAGTTGAAATTTATTTTTGATATTTTATTTGATCACAATATTTAAATTATTTTTACTTTTATAGAAGTCACAGGGACAAAACAGGTAAAAATTTAAGCATTTTAGAAGGTAGTCGACCATTAGTTCCTTTAACTGTATTTGTGTCTTTATGCTTAATATGGGTAAAAATGTCACCCACAAATATTCTTGAAAGGGATCCAAGGATATTTTTCATGATGAGTGGAGCAATATTTTCAAATATTTGTGTAAGTAAAACATAAGCTGCTACCTTAAACTAGGGTACACTATCTAGTATCTATGTACATTGTTTAAACTACACCAAACACTGTTCATTGATGACTACAATTTTAGTCTTAAACTTAGTTGATTATACATTACAGTTTTATTGATAATTATTTTTACTTTATTACAGTGTCGTTTAATTGTGGCTCAAATGAGCAAGACCCGTTGTGAAGCACATAACAATTTGTTGTCGTTTATGGTTGTAGCTATATTTTTTAGTGTGTTCTTACCTCCTGTTGAGTTAATTTGTATGTACATTATGGCATTCATAAGCATTGTGACACACATATACTATGGAGGCTGTGTAGTAAGTATTTTTACATAATTTTCATAAATAATTTATCTATGATTATTACTGTATAAATTATATTTTGTGGGGTGATAATATTTTTAACTTATATTACATATTTTAGGTGAAACAAATGGCTGATCATTTTAAAATTATGTGTTTCAAAATACCATACAAGAAACATTAAATATAAAATATTATTAAAGTAATACTTATTTTATTTTTATTATTTATATTAATTACTTAAATCAACATTAGCATTCATGGAATAGTTGTTACTAAATGTTATTTGTTTTTAAAATCTCATTACAGATTAGCCATTCAGATGAAGTACTCTTATTTTTTATATTTGTAGAATTGTTTATACACATTTTGTATACAAGTTATTATTATTCATTACACTATTTAAAAATTGGTATGGTACATTTTATCTCACTAATTGTACTAATTCAGTGATATTTTATTTCTAAAAAAAAACTTTGAAAGTGTATAAACTAGTTTACCTTTGAATGCAGTTAATTCGGGAGCATTGAACAAATTAGTGCTACTCAATAAGATATTGGCAGTTATTTAATTACCTATTTATTGTTATATTATTTTACTTCAAATATTTAATATTAAATAACCTTCATTGGTACTTATTTTTTATTAAATGGGTTGTATTCTATAATTAGGTATAGCACCTATATAATAATAATTAAAAATAAATTTAAGATTATTAAGGTATCCATAATATAGTTATTATAATATAATTATAATATCTGTTAGAACAATGTGTTATTTTGTAATTAATTGAATTATTTGACTTAATTATACAATAGATATTAGACAATAAGTTAATTAATATCGTGAATGACTTGACAGTCTGAGTTTGTATTTGTATTATTTTTTTTTTTTTTATTTTAAACTTGTGTGTGATAAAAAAGATCAATTAGTAAATTTATGATTACATATATCATTACAATATTGAATATATTATATACCTATAACATATGATTACATGAATTTTGTATGTGATACTAGTGGTCACAAGCGAAATACCTATATTTTATGATGTATTTATGTTGCTATTAATAAAATAACTTATTTTAGAATTAGTTATATCAAAGATGGTAGGTTGAATTAAGCTGAAAACATAGAATTTGAAAATGTCATCAAGTGTATTAAATATAATCATAGACGTTATAAGTTTTAAGTACCCATATGAATAGTATTTTTAAATTACAACAAAATAATGAAAATTCTTATTTTTATTCTTTGGGTATAAAAATTGAGCATTTCATACATTTTTAACTACAAAAAATGATATGCAAATATTCGTGATTTTCTTGAAATTTGAAAAATCAATATATGAGGATTGCTAGGGGTGTGTAAAATGTATGTTAAGATAAAAATCAAATCACCGTTCAGAGATGAATATACGTTTATCTCATAACTCATAAATCATAATATACAAATACAATATACGTAGTTTATAGTGAACGAGTATTATAGCATAAGGACAGGTAGGTACTTAAATATCTCAAACTGTGAGAGCACAATACATCAGACTAGGTTTAAAAGCAACTTCAACGTTTTTTTTTATAGATGAACCTTAAAAAAAATTGAGCGTTGGCCACGATTTTACCTAGCCCGATCAGTACATAAATTAGAAACCTGTCTGGCTTACATTATTCTTGTTTTACATGTATTGTGAGTGTGCGACTTAACAGACATTTTGAATATATAGTGTACGACCATTTTATTTAATTTTGTTCATATGTATATTTTTTTTACATCCCTAAACTAGTTCAATAATAACACGACATATTTCAAAAAAAGTTGTGTTAGAATTTGGGTCAAATACTATTTGGGAGCTACGAGTGGTAAAAAGCAATGAAGTACCTGGTACATTTGTTTTATTTTGAGGGTTACTTGAATAAAAAAATATTAGAAATCGCTATACCGAGGCTGTTAAGGCGAACCATTTTTGAAGGGTTAGATTTAATAAATTTATAATAATAATCAAATAATCTATATCCTTCATGAGTGATGTGTGACTGTGAGTAGTGACCATCAGTGTAAGATCGCCAAACACTGATTAAAGATAATAACTCTGGCTAAGATTCTTGGAAATCAGTTACGTACATACACACGAAGTCACACGTAATTTTATGTTGTGTTCAAAAAGTGGAAGAATATAGAAAAATAACCTAGAAAAGAGAATAAGGAATTCTAAATGAACATTGAGCTTTTTTGTTCTGGGTGAATTTTTTTCCACTTTTTGAGACTTTCATGTTGAAACTTTTTGGATAGCAAAATATACTGATTTTTGTGACCGCGTATGTACGTTACTGATTTCCTAGAATCTTATAGAGTTATAGCCGTAGGTAATCTTTACATAAATCGTTCGAGGAACTCATGAAAGATATAGATTAAAGTCTAACTCCGACCTCTTAAAAATGGTTTGCTTTCAACAGCCTTAAGCTTTGAGGTTACACAGGGTGATTCATCAAGCATGCTCATCTCCGTTTTGTCCCTAAATAATGCAGTTATTCAAAATCTGATTTTTTACAATATTTTAATTTACTTAAAAACCATATTAATAAATTCTTGAAATTGTTTTTCTATGTTCTGTCTTCTGTGCTGATACAAACTTCTGTTTTTCAAATGAGAACCCCCCCCCCCCTTCCTTCCCTATTTTACTGTAAATTAATTAGTGGATAATTTTTTTAAAAATGTTGATGTACCACATTCAAAATTCGAATGAGTAGTTTCATAGTTATTAAAATGTTTATATTAAGAATTATAGTCCTTAAAACTAGTTTAACATAAATATAAAATAAACCTACGTAAAATTGGATCTAATATTCTAATATAATACTTGGGCCATTCTTACAAATTATTAATATCGATGGATTAATATGAATGAATACAATTTTCAAATCACCATAGCCCCCATATCTTATAAACTAATTACTATGAACCTTTTATAGTTTTACCCGTATGACACTAAGTTAAAAAGTAAAAACCAAACTCAAAAACTAATTCCTACGAATTTTGATTTTGATACCCAAAAATTTCAGAAAAATTATCTGCCTATTCTATAAATTATATTGTTGAATAGGAATGTTCTCATTTGAAAAACAGAAGTTTGTATGTCCATAGGTCACAGGACACTCCTTAAGAAGTACAAAAAATCCCAAGAATTTAAAAATATGGTCTTAGAGTATATTTAAAAAAATCAGATTTTGAATAACTGCATTATTGAAGAAAAAGAGGGTGAGCATACTTGATGAATCATCTTGTTACATGGTAGTAATTTTGTATGCAACCAAACAAACATTTTTGAGATATTGTGTGCCATTTCATTTTGTATATGTGTAAATTGTTTCTTTTTAAATCGTAGCATTGGCTTATATTATGCGCACCTCAAATATTTTGTGATATTATTGCTATTAAATTAATTAATTTTACTATTAGTATTATGTTGAATTAATTTTACGAGGTAATTGTATGAGAAAATAAAAATGTTACTAGCTAATTTACGTGCCTATAATAAATAAATAATTAAACATTAATGAGATTTTAAAATGTTTGTGTTTTTTATATTTTGACCGATTTCCTGGCACTGTCTAGATTGGTATTTGTTACTATGGTCACCGACTACTGAGTAATGTGGTATTTAGGACCTTTTTGGTTAAAAGTTGAAACTAAGTGTAAAACGTAGGTACATATAACTGTAGACGGCAGGCCATAAAAGTATAAGACCAATGAACTCATTTTGCGCCTTGCGAGACGTCTTGTGAGTAAGTTGTGGCAGGTCAGTAAAATTTATATTTATTCGTGATAGTGGCGAATGGCACTTCTCGTTTCTAACATCTGACCAATAATAGTCAATGGATGTTTTGAAGCATAAACATGTATGATATTGTATATTTATGTTTTGAAGTTTCATATCTATTTCTTCTAGTCATCGTCATTCTTTAAGCTTTCTGCTCTCTCAAATCTAGATCCTAGAAAATAGTATACTGATTAGATGATCTACAGATGTAGTTGATTCTGATGAATATACATTAATTTTATTCCATATTTGTTCTTCCTAGTAGTGTTTGAGATAGCGAATGGCGAATTTCAAAAAATAATTTTTGTCTGCTATTGCCTATTAGCGAATAATAGTGTTGGATTTTCGATTCAACCGGTAAACGTGAAGCTGATTTGATTTAGTATTTACTAAGGTAAATCGTGCGGATAGTTATTGCAATGGCTAGCACCACTGTAAAGTTTTCGGCCACTTTAAGTAAAACTGATCCGATTAGTGTACCAGTACTGATTGTAGGTCAAGAAAAACACTTGTCTAGTTTATCTTACTCTGCAGTCAAGTGTAAGTTAGAACCACGGGTTAATGAACAGGTGAGAATATAGTTTGATTAATGTTTAAAAATATGTTTTGTACTAAAGTAAGTTTTTTCTGTATTTTAGACTTTCAAATCTGCTTTGTCTGTATTGAATCCTTGTCCTACAGACACTTGCCCACTTTTTCTCAACACTGCCACTTTAGCGGCCATTTCCAACAATCATAGTCGTCATAACTCATCGGCACAACCCCATATGCTTACAAAGCTGATCAATTTGAATTCAGCTGGATACAATGAATGCATTGTGGTTAGTAAACAATTATAGAAATTCTATTTGTTTTATTCAAAATGTTTTATTTTCAAGTACCTAATGTAAAAAAAAATATTGTTAGATTGTTTGCGAGCGAAAAGACATGTTTGCCTCAGGTTGTGCTGCAGCTCGGGCATTCTACGACTATTGTCGCAAAACTAAAATATATGTTGGTAAACTAAAAGAACAGAAGAAAGCTACTGTCACTGTAACAGTGGAGTTTATAATAATGCCCGACAGCAATGGTGAACATAAGGTGGAAAAAGAAGAAATAGCAACTTTGGAAAGAATAGCTAATGCTATTAAAATGACGGCGCGTATTGTTGATACTCCATGTAATGACATGAATGTCAATCATTTCTTAGATGCAAGTCAAACATAATGGCTGAATATATTGGATATTTTTAATTTTGAATAAAACTTTTAGGAGATAAGACATGTAGGAGCTGACTTGAATATTACTCCTACAATAATTAGCGGGGAAGAGTTGAAGAAAAAAGGTCTTGGAGGAATATATGGTGTCGGTAGAGCATCTTCAATAGGTCCAGCTTTAGCTGTACTATCTTACACCCCACAAGGAGCCACAGAAACAATTGCTTGGGTTGGCAAAGGTATAGTTTATGATACTGGTGGTCTTAGCATCAAAGGAAAGGTAAATATATATTATTTTTATACATGTACAAAAACAATATAAATTGTTCATCAAATGTTTTCAGTCAGCTATGCCAGGTATGAAACGAGATTGTGCTGGAGCAGCTGCTATTTTAGGAGCATTCCAAGCTATAGTGAAATCTAGTTTTAAACAAAATCTTCATGCTGTTTTTTGTTTGGCTGAAAATTCTGTTGGCCCAGATTCAACACGTCCAGATGACATACATACCCTTTATTCAGGAAGGTTAGCTTTGTATTAGTTACTCACATAAGTATAATAATAATAGTAATTATTAATTAATTATTTTCAACAATACATAATTTAATTTTAGAACTGTTGAAATCAATAATACTGATGCTGAAGGACGTCTAGTTTTATCAGATGGTGTAGTGTATGCATCTCGAGATCTTAATGCTAAAGTGATATTAGACATGGCTACACTAACTGGTGCACAGGTATTTAAACATAGTTTTCAATTGAGTATTGAATTATTAAAAATGCTTGTTTCAGGCAATTAGCACAGGAAAGTATCATGCTGCAGTAATGTCTAACTCAGAGCAATGGGAAAAAAATGTAGTGTCTGCTGGTCTAATATCAGGAGATTTAACATTTCCAATTGTGTACTGTCCAGAACTTCATTTCTGTGAATTTTCATCATCTGTAGCTGACATGAAAAACTCAGTTGCTGTAAGATTACGTTTATTTTTTATTAACTAAATACTAAAATTATATTTTGCTATTATTTTCTAGGATCGATCAAATGCTACTTCATCATGTGCCGGACTGTTTATAGCTGCTCATCTTGGCTTTGATACGACTAATCAATGGATTCATGTGGACATTGCAGGGCCTTCTCATTACGTAAATATAAATACAGTATACGCTAATTATTAGAATCACAGTTAATTGATCTCAACAGATTGGTCTACCAAGGCTGATCCCAATTTTTATAATATACTACTAACATTCTAAAAAAAAAAATTGGGGCATATTTTCAAATTTGTTAGTGGATTTTCCTGATTTGACTCATACCATAATTTTACGATTAATAAAATTTCCTCGACTCATAGCATAGTATCAACATTTTTTCACATTATTCAGCCATTGCAAAATTTATGAAATATAAAAAAATATATATATTTTACTATTTTAAATGTTATACTTTTATGAATTACAACATACTTAATATGAAATGCTTCGGTTGTTAAAATTGAAAGAAAGGTATTTGCTACCTTTTAAATTATGTTCTTATAAAATTATGGACTTTGTGTAGAAATTACATTCATAAGAGTACTATTATAGGAGTAATGAGAAAAAATTCATTTTTTATAATTATGTCCAATTAAAGATTTTTGATACATCAGATAATGATTTAAATTCAACACATCCTAAAGTCTAATAAAATTTGTTATATGTTATGTCTATGTTATCGTCAATTTTTATACACCTCTGTATATTTTCAAATTAAAAATACTCATCCTTTTTAAAATTTAATGATAAGTTCAAAAAGCCGTTTTATGATTTTTTTTTTATAAATCTTGTATGAAAATGAAAATCTTCTTTGAATATGTAAAAATCAGTTGGCTACAATTGTATTGTTAGTTTAGCCTTACTATTATTTTTGTTGCTTCAATATTAGACAAAATAATAAATACTGTAAAATAAACAGTTCTACTAACGTCAGAGAAAAACAGAATTGTGAACAGCTGATAATACTAAATTTACTATTTTAAATTTATTGGACTTATGGAAGTCTGTAATAACCCACAGATTTAATTTATTTTCTTATGTATATAATTTTTTTTTTATAGGGTGAAAGAGCAACTGGTTATGGAGTTGCACTTTTGACGGCACTTTTTGCTAAGTATACAAACGATCTTCTATTGCAAAATGTTTCCAAACATATTGAATACTCTTAAAAGTCATATTACTAACGTAAACTTCAAGAAAATTTATGTTTAATTAAACAATAATTGTCAATCAAACTTTATATTAATACATTTTTAAAAATTGATATTTTTGTCATTTTTCTGTATTTTTGTATGCACGTGCCATAACTTTTTAACAAAATGTTTTCTTTAAATGAATAAAATAAAAAAATAAAACCTGTTCAAAATGTATTTTTGATTATTTTAATAAAATTGAAACTGTATAAAATATTAAAATGGTAGTATATATATTTACTATGATAATTAATAATTCATTTATAACAATAATAAAATTATTGATAGCTTAAAAATATCACATTTAGACAGTATTAAAAAAAAAACAATGTGTCACAAGAAGGAACAGATAAAGCAATCATTTAATTGAAATATTACATTTTATATTATACTTCATTATAAGTTATTCTTTATACTGATCAGTTCTAAAGACTTAAAAAAAAAAATACCCAATAAATAATGGAGTTCATTTAAATTTTCAAGCCAAATACCATGTTTAGAAATTGCTCATAATGAATAGTAATATATCCATCTTGATCAGTATCAAATTGACGGAATGCAGCAGTTAAGGTCTGTAAATACAAATTTAAGTTATTAAAAAATAATAACTAATTCAATGATTATGATAAAAATACATTGAAATAGTTAGTTGCATAGTAGTATAGTAGTAAGTAATGTTTAAAAAAAAAAATAATGGTACATACATGTAATACAACACAGCATTGTATGAAATCATCAAAAAGTATAGTGCCACGACCAAAACGGTCAAATCTCTTGAGCATAACTGATACAATTTGTTCACCGAGTCTATAACCAAACGATGATAGAGCGTCTTTGAGTTCGGATACATTTATATTGCCAGAGCCATCACGGTCAAATGATCGAAAACACGATTGCCAATCAGTTACGTACTTCCATAAAGCTCCAAAGTCATCAAACGATACAGTACCTCGATTATGCTTGTCAAACATACCTATCATAAGACGTACGGTTTCCGGATTGAATGGAGTCCATGTTCCATTGGAGAGCGCCATTTGCAGTTCATCAGACGAGATGAATCCACTTCTATCTTTGTCAACCCTACATCAAAAATATCGTTGTAACCTGACAAATATTATTGATATAATTATTTTCAATTACCTCTGGAACACGTCCCACAAAAACTCTCTGGACGGCATCGGTGACGAGAAATTCGCCATTTTACACTGAAAAAACACTTGGCATTAGAACAATACCTCAAGTAGTTCTGGTGAAACTTTTAGCTTAAATATTTTATTATGTTTTCATGACTCACCAATAACGCCTTAAACACTAAAGTATTAATGAGCCAATATAGTCAATATTGTAAACTGTCGAGTGTTTGACCGTAGTTAATATGTCACCGATCTTAAATTCTAAAGTATAGTCGATAAGAGGTAGAATAATAACACCAATCGAGTCATAATATTATTGTGACGGTTGACCATATCTTGATTCGTGTTGAATTGATAACGATAACATGTTGCTGGCTGCTACAGTTGTACCACCAATGACCACAGAACAAGGCTTTGGCCTGGCAGTATTGTAGAAAGTTCAAAGGCCCTCTATTGTTAATTAATCATAGTCCCATAAATCATAATAATCTAGTAGTTTATATAACTAACTTAGTTTATAGGTCTCTGCACTTAACTCTTGCAAGTTGCTCCATTATTTTGTTCTACAGTCTTAGACACGGACTAAGATTTATCTTAGTCCGTGGTCTTAGATAATAATGATTTATAAATCCACCATGATGAGTTGCATGGGTTGGTGACAACAATAATATTATGATAGAATAACCATGATAGTGTTATCAGCGCTTATGAAATATTGTCACTTGAAGATTTAAAAACAAATATGATACCTATAGAGGTAAGTGAAATGTGAATGAGACTTAGGTAAGGCTTAAGTAATATAAAATAATACATGCATTTCAATTTAAAATAACACGTTTTAACATTTGTGATATATTGTTAGGCAGACGTGAAATCTACGAAACTACGGTTTTTACTTGGTATTGTTGTCCGTCATGATCACGAACAATGACTGACAAATATATTTGGTCAGTAGTAGCATGTATTTTGGTGTCAAGCCTTTGTTCTCATGCGGCAATGAATGCAAATATGTCAAGAAATGACGGCGGAGGATTTAAAAACGATTCATTGCTGGAAAACGACCCAGAGTTGAATTATGTTCCTTCTGGGCCGCTGGTCATGTGCTCTTTCTTGTAAATAATTTTGTGTATACTCATCAATATGTATTGTAGCTTACAATATGTCAAACATGCAATAAAAATAATTTAAATTAATTTTTAACAATAATAATATTTAGGCCAATAGAGTTCATTGAATGTGAGGACCTAGTTGACTTAAAAGGAAACAAGACAAGAGATGATACCATGACGGGCGGTTGTTCTAAGGTACAATATTATAGGGACTAGATAAAAATATTGACTTAATCTATGATATATCGTATTTTTACATTATAGTATGGAGGTAGTTATAGATATGAAGATGTAGAGAAAACAACAGTTCAATGCATGGTTTTACCTGGTATAGAATGTCATGGTAATAGAAAATTCAACAAGAAAGGATTTCCTTGTGTGAAGTATAAATAAATTATTTATTTGTATTTGATTTACTATTAAGATGCCAATTTCTACACAAGGCGTGTCGCCGTATTACAAACCTATGGCATACCAAATTTGAGTTCATCAGAATTGATTCTGTAATTAGTTTTAATATAACAGTGAATTTACCTATTATCAATGTTAAAGTTAAAAACATATGCTGTGCTTAACTGTTGGCTTTTTTGTTATTCTAATTTCCAAACAAGATAAGAGAAATAGTTTAATGGCCAAAAACCTAAACGAAAATGTTGGTATGTCGTACGATTGTAAGACAAAGACAACAAATGCACGGGTAGCGTCTTCTTAATAAAAAATGTATTACATGGTCTTACAACACTATTATCGTTATTATTATTATTACAGGTATGGTGGCTATTATTTCCTAACAACTCTTTTGTATTCAATTTTACTGGGATTCCTTGGTATGGACAGATTTTGTCTGGGACAAACTGGAACAGCTGTTGGAAAACTATTGACACTTGGAGGTGGAGGAGTCTGGTGGATACTGGATGTCATATTGTTGGTCACTAATCAACTTTTGCCTGAAGATGGCAGTAATTGGAATATTTATGTTTAATTAAAAAAACTGTTTATTTTTGTAACCTTCATAAAATAAAACAACTACTAATTGTACAAAACATTCAACAATATTTATTGATTTCAAAAACTTTTGCAGTCTGAAGTTTATCTTGATCAGCTTTTATCCATTCATCTCTTTTATGCCTGAACATACCTAAATTTAATTTGGATGCAATTATAGAACCAAATTGTGTGCTAGTAAGATCAGATTCATGTTTCAAAAACTCTGTCATTATCATGGTACGCTGTTTTGTGTCTGCTACTTTCCATATGCAATCAAAAGCTCGGGAACCACTTTTTGATTTTGCCAATATTGTATAATAGTCCTAAATATTAATTTTAATATTTTTAAAAAATATTTTAATATGAATAACAAATTATTTGATTACTTTTAATTTCCATATCATTTTTTCGCGACTTCTTTCCCCAATAAATGCACTTTCAAAATATGCATTTCCAATATAACTGCCTTTTACATCGCATAGCAAGTAAACGAGACGTTCAGTATCTAAATTATTCAAATTATTTACCACCTGTAAAATAAATAAATTTAAGTTATTTTCAAGGACACAATCTCTACAATATCTTACTTTGATTGGTTTATTAAACTTCAATATATTTTGTACTATCATAGATCCATGAATATGAATTGGGGGTTCTTTACACGAATTATCAAAATTATCAGCAACTTTTAACCCAAGAAGTAATAAAACAGTAACTCCATCTTCGGTTTCTTCTTTACATTTTAATGATTCGCATAAAGTCTATTAAAAATAAATACGTACAAATTAATTGAATTAGTAAAGTTTGATTTATTTACTTTAAAGAATAAGGCTTGTTTACACTTCAAACGTAAACAAGCATTGGACAATTCTAATAACACTCCAGTATATCCAAGATTGATAATTTGTGGAATTTTTTCCTTTAATTGATCGAAAATTGTTTCAAACTAAAAATATAAATTATAAGTTGTAAATTTTGATTCAAACGAAGAAGCTATTCATTAAGCAATGGTTCTTTTGTAGCAAGTAAGTTATACAAAGCGAGAGTAGTAGTCAATACTCAATCGTTTAAATTCTTTCATCAACTATATTATTACTTTAGTAACATCTGCAGTTGTTGATAATATTTTTTGTATGGTGAAATTCCCATTGTGATGAACTGTTAAATCAGCAAGTTTATCATTGAAATATTTTTCATGTAATGATTTATTCAATTTTTCTGGGGATTCAGATATTATAACATCAAGGAGTCTAAAATGAAAGTTTGTAATTATTATTTTATATTCCCCATTAGTTACTGATATTATGTTTGAAAATAAATTTAAATTGTACCTGGAAAATGAATTGTTTTCAAGAACCTGAGAAACATCATCAAAAGAGCTACTTTCACTTCTTGGAAAACATCCACTCATTATTTTTTCAACTAAGGCTTTAAATCTTTTCTTAGATACAGGTGAAATTGATTTAAGTAATACTTGTAAGAGTCCGGAAGTGATATCAGTTGTAGGCATTTCTGGAAAATAATTTAATGAAAACCATACTTGTTTAGTAATAAGTTTGTAGTTATATTTTACCTGAGAATTGCTGGATATTTACTATACAGTCAGCATATTTTTTTAGTAAATCTTTATGATCTTTATTTGTGTCTATATTTTCGCCTTTTTGCTGTGGAGTCTTTGAACACAAATATGGCCGACCGCATAAACAAGCAATGCAACTGCGCACTATATGATTAGCGTATGTATCCCATATAAATTCCTCCAAATTATTAACTATAAATTTGCATAGCTTATTTATAAAATTGAAATAATTTTCTTTAGTTATTTCTGATATGTCATTGGTAACCTTTTATAAACAAAAATAAAAATATTGTATTAATTAGTTACTTAATTAATGAATTACTATATAAACACCTTATATGCTCTATAAATTGTGACATGTAATAGTTGCTGGAGCACATGGCTAGCAAACTGGTCACAGCATATAGGTCGCAAATCGCTTTCAAAGTGTTTTATCAAATTTAATACAGTCTGATCACTAGCTGCAGGTAGTAGATCATCTACTACACGAGATACTACTTGATTACTACAATAATTCACTTCATTGCCATCCAATTGTTTGAATACATTATCCACAAACATACCTGAAAATATTTTTATGACGTTCAATTTAATCTTTTGGCTGTGACAATAGTGTTAAATATTTTCTTGGAGCAACTATTATATAGTAGCAAGAACCTAACAATATTTACTTTTATCGTCATCGCTTTCGAACATTTCTTTTGATACTTTGAGAATATTAAGGAAATATTGAAAGTCTTCGTCTTGGATTTGGAAACCGTGTCCGAATTTCCCCCGTTTGGAGTATTTCACGGCTCGTTGGTAAGTCGACATGCGTTTTTTTTTACGCTTAAAAGTTCCTCCAGACGACTGAGAATCCATAATCGATAGAATGTAAGTCTAATATTACAGTTAACACTAAAATGTAATTTCAAATATTAAAATGGAGTAAATAAAACACAGGCAACCGGCAACGCGAGATGTGACCAGAGGGCTGCGGGCCTGTGAATTCAGTATTCACACTCAGCAATAAGCTGTTGTACAACTCATTGTAGCAATCTTCACACTCACGTGTAGCTTTATCAAATACTTTGAAATATGACAATACGCAAGGGACCACAGATATAGATAATAAATAATAGTTTATTGCAAGGGACATTCGATGATAACAACCACTGATAATATCCCTAAAAACGTAGTGATTGCCTGCCCGCCCTAATATTGTGTATATAATTAACGTTACTAACTTCATGTCATTACGTATCCGTGCCAGAAAATTTGCCTACTTTCAAGTAAAAGGGGAGCGCGTAAAATGTCCGAACAGTAATTATCCGAAAAATATACTCGTATTTTGAGAAAAGTATTTTGTCAGAACTATATTTGATACGAACAATAACAATATAATGCAGGAAACATATTTTAGTCGAAAAATATTTTTATCTAAAATATACCATCCGAACCGTATTTTAGCCGAAAACGGTAGGTATGTGAATCAATGGGTAAGGCGTCACAATTAGTAAACCAGAGTTAGTGTCGGCCAAAGACGCCCACATGGGAAGGGGGTGTGGTGGTTGACAATGTTTTTAAGTTGTTTGTGTGTATATATATATATATTTATATTTATAATATACACCTAGCCCCTCCCCGTTGAAATTTTCTACAGGGTCACAGGGACCCTTGTGCCGGTTAGGATCTTATTTTTTCATTTTTATTTTTAATTTTTTTTTTTCAATCCCCCAACTTAGAATAATACTTTATTTTATACTAAAACAATAGGTACTTTAAGTGGTTACCCTAATTATCCCAATGATGAAATACAATAATAAATTAAAAAATATTTAGTGACCTAAACCTGCAGCCGTTGAATTTTAATAATTCAATTTTTACCTTATTTTTATTACGTTCCAAGGACGTCTATATGCATATTAAATTAAAACATTTCTTAAGGGGAAAACCCTACTTTAGAGTTATTATATTATGATAAGTAATAAGTTTACTGACCAATGTTTCATTACAAAAACGAAAATTTGGCCTTCAATCTTTGACTATGTAATACGAATACCTATTACTTTTTTGTTTACTAAACAAGCCCCTGAATAAATTATTCGGGGGTTTTGTGTACTGGATGCGAAAGCAAAGACAAGTTTGAGTATAACTTTGAAGAAACGGTGGCTTCAGAATTTCAATAAAGCGAACAAACTATATTAAATATTTACATAATTATAAAGTTAGGGCTTTAGATAGTTTAGAATGGGTAATTGTTTTCTAAAAATGATTTGATTACCAGAAATAACCACATAAATTATAATAGTGAATCATCTATACAACTTTTAAAAGATTTTTTTTTTTATAAAAAAGACTTTATTTTGAATATTACAATCTATACAGGGGTGTACAATAAGTAATAATTATGGTGAGTGAAAGAAAAACTATGAACTAATGACAAGGTAGGAAATCCCTCATTAGGGACACCTAGTGGCTTTACAATAACATTTACAATTTATACAATAACATTTAATTTAAACAATTTATAAAATTTTTAAGTCGCGGCACCAGTTCCGCTTGAGTCGTCTGGTTGGATTTCCGGGTAGTGCTGGTGTAGCAAGGTCTCTGATGAGCTGGTTGGAGTTGGATTGGAGTTTTGCGTGGAAGCGTTTGTAGTATATGGTAGCAGTTTCGTTAACAGAGCAGATTCTTAGGTCGGAGTTAATTGCATTGTTGGAGATATACCAGGGTGCTCCAGTTATTAAACGACAGCAGATATTCTGGAAGGCTTGGATAGTTCTCTTATTAGATTGTTTAGCAGAACCCCAGATTACTACCCCATACACCCAGAGAGGTTGCAGAAGAGTTTTATATAGTATGAGTTTAAGTGGTAGTGCTAGATTTGAGCGTAGGAGTGGCCTTAGCAGATGAAGTCTTGAGTTTAGCTTTTTACGTTTGTCTTTTAGATGAGAAGACCATGTGAGACGTCTGTCGAATATTAAGCCGAGGTATTTCACTTCGTTTGAGTGAGGAATAATGGTGTTATTCATTGATATAGGAGGGCAGTTATGGGGCCTGAGAGCAAATGTGACGAAGGAAGACTTCGATTCGTTGACTTTAATTTTCCATTTAGTGAACCATTGGGAAAGAGTATCAATGTGGAATTGTAGTTGAAGGCTTGCAGTGATATGATCAGCAGCCGTAGATAAGAGCGCAGTATCGTCTGCATAAGTTCCAATGGTTGTTTTTTCTGAGGTGGGTAGATCTGATGTGTAAATTATGTACAGAAAAGGTGCTATGTCACTGCCTTGCGGGACCCCAGCAGCAATGCGAAATTGTTTTGAATGTTGGAGGTTGTGGCGAACCTTGAACGTGCGGTTGTCCAAGTACGATTTTAAGAGGAGATAGTAAGGGGCGGGAAATAAAGTTTTTAATTTGAAGAGTAATCCATCGTGCCAGACGGTGTCGAAGGCTTTGGCAACGTCCAAGAATACTCCAGCGCAGTATTTTTTTGT